GTGAGTGCTCTTCACTGGGACAAAACAAGTGTCCGTATTACAAGGGTGTTCGTAGTAAGTAGGTCAGTGTAAGAGTGAGTGCTCTTCACTGGGACCAAAACAAGCGTCCGTATTACCAAGGTGTTCGTAGTAAGTAGGTCAGTGTAAGAGTGAGTGCTTTTCACTGGGACCAAAACAAGCGTCCGTATTACCAAGGTGTTCGTAGTAAGTAGGTCAGTGTAAGAGTGAGTGCTTTTCATTGGGACCAAAACAAGTGTCCGTATTACCAAGGTGTTCGTAGTAAGTAGGTCAGTGTAAGAGTGAGTGCTCTTCACTGGGACCAAAACAAGTGTCCGTATTACCAGGGTGTTCGTAGTAAGTAGGTCAGTGTGAGAGTAGATGCTCTTCACTGGGACAAAAAAAGTGTTGGTATTACCAGGGTGTTCGTAGTAAGTAGGTCAGTGTAAGAGGGAATTCTTTTCACTGGGACCAAAACAAGCGTCTGTATTACCAGGGTGTTCGTAGAAGGCAGGTCCCCCCTTTGCAAACCTAATTATTAACATGCTGTTTTCTTTTGAACAAAATGTTGCCCGAGTTACGTTACACTGGCCATGTTTGGTCCACTTTCATAAAACACGGCCATTACATCAACAATTGTTTACTTCGTTTTTAAGGTACTTGCCGTTTGGAGGGTCAGCACAGGTGGTAATACAAGGATCAGCAGGGTTGGCACAACACTTCTGTTCTCCGGGGCAGATCCAGTCAGCTCCCTTTCCAGTCGGCTGGCCACCTGCCGAGGCACCGCAGCCTACATACTGCTCAGGTACGTACACGCCCCTGCAGGTCGGTGGTATTTCTACATCTTTACACTTGCCAGGTTTTGCTAAAACCAAAAGGAAAGTAAACATCAAGAGGTTACACCAGTTTCTCGAATAGTCAGTCCCCTTCACAGTACCCTGCGCCATCTTGAAAGGTAGCCGTGACTTTGCATCTAAGCGAGACGAACGGTGAGCTTGCAATGATAGAGACCTTTTTTTAACATTTTTAACAAGATGGTGCAAGGAGCGTTGAAAGGGACAATTGGTTTTAGCCTAAATTGGTTAAGTTGACGTAGTCCTCTAGAAAAAGTTTGTGTTGAAGCATGGCTAATACTAATAGACCGATCCCGGCTATGCCTTAGAGTCCACCCAAACAATGGCTACTTTTTCCAATGGAATACAGAATGTCCCACCAACAAACTCGAATTCATAAGATTTTTCCATAGCTGATGTTTTTTTAAATTGCATTGATTTTAAGACAGACATTTACAATTTTCAGCAATCGATGTCTGTTCCATGCTGTACTGTATATCAAAAACACATTTTAGCTTGTAATTAGGGAGATAGAATAATGAATGCGGGATTGGTGTTAGTCTCCTGCGCAGCCGCTATTAGTGTCGTCACGCCACGCTCACTCCCCTAAGCTACTTAGGGGAGTAAGCGTTGCGTTACGAAACTAATAGCGACTGCATAGGAGACTAGATTGGTGTATTATCATCAATATGCAAGACCAAGACCAAAATATTAAACTACCATCACTAAGACTTTTAAATTAGTGGGCCAAGTACAAAGTGAGCGGGCTACAAACGTATTTGCCGCTCTGCTTCTGATTGGGTGAGATGACTGCTGTGATCCATAGCGCTGGTTTTAAAAAARTATGCCCTCCAAAAAATCCATAGTGTGATATGTATCCTTTAGCTTACCGTGGCAAATTTCCTTTTCAATTGCCAGTCTATTAGTAGAAACAGCATCAGGTGAAACTGCAGGGAACACGTAGTTTGGTTTACTAGCAAGCTTGCTTAAGAAGTCCCGGCTGACGCCTGAATTAACACCAACTGCTATAATGTTGACATTTAGATCTCGTAGAGGTTGGGCAGCCTTGGCCAGGTCAGCGGAAGCAGCATCTGTGTCTCCACCAGCTAGGAAGATAACATAGCGAGGATGACCTTGTCGCATTCCTCCTTCCAAGCTAAATAAATAAAAGAATTTCGTGAAATGCTGGTAAAGAATCGATGGTGGGGTATAGTGGTAGTTCGCTTTCACCTTTGGCTTATCGGATTCGTTTTTTTTCGGCATCACATGTGAGCAGAGTTTGTTAGGTCTCTCCCTTAATTTGAGGGTAAGCTAAATTCCAATTCAATCTGTGAGTCAGCCGTGCCCTGACTTAGATCAGCCCAGAGGTTGCTTCAGGGTTGGATCTGTGAGTTAGCCGTGCCCTGACTTAGATCAGCCCAGAGGTTGCTTCAGGGTTCAATTTGTGAGTTAGCCATGCCCTGACTTTGAACAGCCCTGATGTTTGAGTTAGCCGTGGCCTGACTTTGATCAGCCCTGAAATTGTTTCAGGGTTCGATAAAATCCGAAATTTTGCTATAGCTATATGTAACCAATTGTCTTTGAATGCAAAAAAGTATCAATGTTTTAGATCTCGTTAAATCAAAAACGAAACGCCGGCTAAGCTGATGAGAAGGAAAAGAGAACCTTCAAATTTAATCGTTATCGTCAAACAACCTTTGGGTTACTGTAAGTCAGAGCACGGCCAACTCACAGATTGAAATAGAATGCAGTGTTCTAAGCTTTTTGGAGGCAAAAAAACAGGGCCCTTAAGAGCCAACAAATCCTACTCAGATGTGGTACCGAGTACAGTAATCAAACCCGTGAGCCAAGAGATAAGAGGCGCGTAAACTACGCTTATACGCAGCAGTTTTGCTTACGCCTTATTCAACGACCGGGTCTTAAGATCAATGTAAAGACGAGCAGGTTGCGATATATCATAGGTATTTACCTGAAAACGTCTTTCTTAACTGTTTCCAGGGCAAGATCCACTCTCCTGGTATTGTCATTCGTTTTGGAGAGTTTGGTGATAATGTCCTTGATTGACGGATCGGATATGAACTTATTGAAGTCCGCTACCCTCTTTGCAGTGGCACCATATTGTACTATGCCGAAGTGAATGCTGTTTTCTGAGTCAGCAAATGCATGGAGTAAATTTTTAACAAATTTCTTGCTGTTTTCGAAATCTTCTTCGCTTACGGCTGCCGAGGAGTCGATGGCGAAAGCGACATCCATAGTAATAAAGCAGTCTAGAACACAAAACATCAAACAAAAGGATTAATCACCACCATCATTATCATAATCTGCACCATCATCATTACCACCACCACCATCATCATCATCATCACCATCACCATTATCACCAACACCATCATCACCAACACCAACCCCAACACCATCATCACCAACACAAACACCACCACCACCAACAACAACAACACCAACAACAACGACAACGCCATCATCACCAACACCAACCCCAACACCATCATCACCAACACAAACACCACCAACAACACCACCACCAACAACACCACCAACAACGACAACGCCATCATCACCAACACCAACACCACACCAACAACAACAMCACCAACACCACAACAACACCACCAACACCAACATCATCGTTATCATTGTCATATTTTTCAAGGTTGTTTAAAATGGGAAGCACTTCTAAAAATCTAGTATGTTCATGTTGACAATTCTGTAAAATTCAATATGCACAAATCATCATTATCACCACAACCGCCAAATATAACCAATACCAAAAAGGCCTGCCCTTAAAGACCTCTACATCTTTACCAACTACCACCGACCAAAGTAAATTGTCCCCTAAGAAATRCTTACTCCGCACTCTTGGAGTACATTTGCCTTGGCCACAGTTGCCGCTATAGCAACACATTGATTCTTTATTGCCAGCTCCACAGTCTGAATCAATTTTACACGACCCTTCAGCACCTTTCTCAAGACACGGACCAGGAGCTTCGATAATGGGACACTTCCCGTAGCGACCTAAAAAAATGTATGTCTTTATAAGTAACAACTATTACAATTTAGCCTTTAAGCCACTTCAAGGAGTAGGCGTAGCTCAGTTGGTTAGTGCGCGACCTTCAGAGCTTGAAGTCCAGGGTTCGATCCTTAGGGTCTCCACGTCTGTTTCGACTTCTCTCTAATCGCGTGTGGTTTCAGCTTTGAATACTCTTAAAACAGAGCACTGATGGAGAGAGGGGTTAAAGTGCGCACCGTCGGCTTCCATTGACCGGACAGCAGTTGAATTTCAACTGAAGGAACTACCGACGTTAAATATAGGTACTTTACCTTTTTTCAATCATGTTTTTGGCTTCCTTCAGTAAAACGTTTCGACGGTTGCTGTTTACTCTATTTAAATTGTTTGACTAACAAAAGAGAGTGTCCATGAAGTTCTTCAATTGAAAAAACCTCTTTTTTTTTCAAACCCTGATCCAACCCTTTGGATTAGGATTAAGTCCAAGGCCCGCTAGCTCACAGATGAATTACTACATTAAGGAGCTTATTTTCAATAGCATCAAAATAGCCCATTGCAAGAGAGCAAGGTAAGGGTTAAACAACCCATACGAAAAATCCATTTGACGGATATAACAAAGGAAACAACAAAGAAAATATTCATTCTACCTTTGCATATGGTATCCACAGCTTCATATGAAGCCACTTTTATCAGCTCTGCTGTATCAAAACCTTTCAAAATGTACCTCGACTTAGGTTGGGAGGAGATGGTGCTGAAGAATTCTAACTGAGGATGGACATCCAGCATAACGAGCAAAAGCCTTACACCAATGCTTTTGAGCTTCAGGGATGCTTGCTTGATAGCGTCCTCACTGACTGTAGTTTGTTTAGGAACGAACACCACGAAGGTTTTGGGGTAGATTTGTCGAACTCCACCGAACATCGTGAACGCTTGATCAGCTGCTTTTCGAAGTGCTTGTTCTAAGTTGACTCCGGTACCTTTGAGGTAAAAAATATTGTGGGCGTTAAGCTATTAAAACCCATAACGAATCAGTGGAACGTAACGCTGCGCGTAAGCCTTGAAATAAAGTTTTTGTACCATCAAGAGCCGGTTACCATAATACAGCATGTACTGCCTGTGGTTAGATGGCAGAACAATAAAATACCTTTGCTCTTGGAAATTAAATTCTTTCTCATGTAAAACGACTGTATTGTTCCTGCCATCTAACATGTCTGCCGTCACGAGATGGTGCAAATGAGATGCAAATGAGACAACAAGCATTGTATCGACCCGATAGCCTCAATTACATGATTCTTAAAACAAACGAAAAATACGGCATTGCGGGCTCAACTGTAATAACAGCTACTGCATCGTTTGTCCATCTCTGGATTTTACAGTGTGAGCACGACTTCAAAAGTATTGGCAATCACGTGATGTTCTCCGCCAATCAGCTTTAATAGCTTTGGTGTACCTCTAGTCAGTACTCGCAAGTAAATTTTCTGTAAATATCCCAGGACGATTTTTATAAACCAGTTACAGCTCGGGGGATTACTGCTTATCYAATCAAAACGTTTGAATACAGCACCGTCAAGGTCAAGGTACGGTGCTTCAGTCCAACAATGCATAGTAAAACAGTGGTAAAACAAAGGATTGTGCACAGTCACGCTTGAAAAAAAGTGAACAAAGACCTATAACAAAAGGKTTTCCTAACCATTCCCCTCTATTAACTATGCCGTGAGTTTTTAAAAGACACACAAAATTTGCTCTGTATAGAGCGTTTCCACGTGACGTCACAGTGGCCATGTTGGTTTACCAGAACAAAACATTTTCTATCCTCGGGGAATTGGACTCGTTTTTTTATGCAAATACTGTGCAGAAAGTTTCTATTGTTTGATAAACCAATATGGCTGCCTTGTCACGTGAGTCAAAACGCTCTATTGCGCTCTAAGACCCTAACACAARTTGTTTTGTAATGGTATTTTCTGAAGTGAGATTGCGCAAAAAGGCGAGGCCTAAACATTTGTCCATACCTCTTGGCTTCATATTGTTGATAAAGGTATTGAGCTGGGATGTCTGATAGAATTCATCCAGTTTCACTGCCATGGAGGCAGTATCGCTGTAGCGAATCACACCAATATGGCTGTTTCTGTTGTCCACTTTAAACAAACTACCAATTTTGATGAAAAATCTTTTGATATCATTGAAGAGCTTGGGATCGATGTCGCTGGAGTCAGGGATACCAAATACAAGTTCCACGGTTTCTTTACAAGCTAAAATAAAGGAATTACCGTAGGTTATTAGATATAGCAAGAAGTAAGTTCTACAGTTTTGAGTTCTTTATTGCGCATGTTGGCCTCAATTGAATTACTGGGCCTTAATCAGCTGATAAAAAAAATTCAATCTCCTTGCTCCAAGTGGTGGCCAAACACTGAATACCATGTGCTGTCAACCAGAAAGTGTATTAAAGTGTATTTGCGATTCTGCTAATGAACATTCCCCACGAGACAGAAAATGACGTATAGGCCAGTGAAATTCTGCGCTCTCATTGATTACGACTTCAATCCATTTTTACCAAAGTCCCTTTCATATTCCCTTTTTTCGCCTAATAATCGCCATTTTCGAATCCTAGATACTAGTTTTTTCCTGTTCTCTGGAGAYTGAAATTCTTTTGTTTTGTCCTCCAAATTGCGCTGCTTTGATATCACATTTAAGGGGTCCATTCCTAAAATTGTGATGCATGATATTAATAAAGAATCGAAGATATGTAGATGAAACCTTTAGCTTATTCAAAAACGAAACGGATGCTTTAAAGTTTTTTGACTACATTAATTCTAAGCATAACAACATCAAATTTACTATGGAAAAACAAGATCATGTTTTGCCCTTCCTTGATATACGTATTCTTCGTTTGCACGTTACGTCATCGCGGCCATGTTGGTACCATTTAACAAAAGATTTCTCATTAGCATCCAYTGTTAACGGTACCACAATGGCCGCCATGTTTTTGTCTTTYTACTCTCTTGGGAATGCTTGCAACCCATCAGTAGAAAACATTCATAGGTCTATTTACCAACTATATCAGTTTTTTACCACTATCATAAAAAGTTGGTTTATTGCGCACTTTGATCGATCGCATTTATAAGATCAATAACACATTGCTAGAACATCCACTGATGATGGCGGTATGTACGCCGAAACATGTTTGGATTAAAGAAACTTGTTCTCAAGATTAATATCTCACCTTGACATTGAGCTTCTGTGATCTCTCTGACCTTGGTAGACAGGTCGTCGAAATTCTTGGCGCTGAAAACAAAGTCTTCAGAGCTTGCCATATCAAGCAGCTCAAGAACATCGATATCACTACCGACTCCAAGTGAGTACACGTTGACACCCTTGGCCTGAAGACCGGAAGATGCGACTTGCAGTGGTGTGTAAGGACCTTTTTTTTTGGTCTGGATACCGTCAGTCAGGACAAGAGCCACCTGATCAAAATATATTGGAAATATTAACTTTTATTTTCGTCAATAGACCCGTTTCGAATTCCAAATTACCGCTGTGTTTCTTGATTACAGACTCATTTGCACAGGGTTAGCCTCGAGTTTGTGCAGAATATTCA